TGTGGTGCTGGGGGATTGAACCGTGGTCCCTGCGCTTTGCTGAGCTTGTTCTGCGTAGGTGCTTTAGACCACTGAGCCATCTCACCAGCCCCTGTTGTTTGATTTTCTGAGACAGGGCTTCACTTTGTAGTACAAGTTGGCCTTGAATTCACTCTGTAGCCCAAGCTGGCCTCAAACTGGAGATGATCCTTCTGCCTCAGCCTCCCAAGTGCTGGGATAATGGGTGTGCACCACCCTGCCTGGCTTGAAAGCTATTTAATGCCTTAAAGATTGATCTTTGGCCTTGGAGACTGCAGATTTGTCCGAGGCAAGCTGCTCATGGCCGCCCTGGGCCACTGCGGAGGAGGATGGTGCCTTCCTGGCCATCCTTGTGCAGCTGGGACAGCGCAGAAGGGCTGCGCATGCCTCCAGCTGCCAGTGGCTGCATTTGATGGCTCTGCAGGCTGGGCATTGGCTGCCCAGTGCTCCTCCTCCCAGTTGTAGGTCGTGCTCCTGAGCTCGGGGGCCAGCCAGGAATCAACGCTGCCGTCTGACCAATCTGGGTGGCCGAGTGAGAGCACACACTGATGGCGGTGCACTGAGTGTGTGGCCAGAGACACAGGGCAGGGCCTGCTCCCTGTGGTCGCTTTTGTTCAGCTTTCTTTGAGTAAAAGCAAAAGAGCTCAAGTCGTCCTGTATATAGGTTAGATATAGTCCGCAGAATGTTTGCTTAGCTGCTGGAGTTTTCTGTTGAAACTCTAGCTGCCAGTCTCAGCACGCTTGCAGGCTGCACGCTGCTCCTGTTAGCATCAGCAGCCCCCAGAAGAAGTACCCTTAGAGGAAAAGCCTTTGTCTCAGTCTCATGACCGGCGAGACGTAGGGGAAGGACAAAGGAAAGGTTTCAGCAAATACAGGGGGACGTTGCTTGTTTTGTCCCTCCTCATCCTGGAGAGCCAGAGCCAGGCAGGTATAGACGCTGTTTGCTGTTCTACTTCTGATGGTTTGCTGAGGCAAATACTTCCTCTGAGTGTGTGTGTGATTTTTTTTTTTTTTTTTGAGATGCAGAATCATTTTTTTTTCTTTTTTTGTATTTAGTAAGGGTCTACAGGGTCTGTCTCACCATGTAGATCGGACTTGTAGTGATCCGCCTGTGTTCAGCCTCCCAAGAGCTGCGATTACAGGTGCGCAACACTATGCCCAGTCTCAGTCGCCATCTCAGTGTGTGCCAGGGACAGGTTCCGCACAGCACACTGGGGATCAAACCCCAGCCGCTGTATCTGCCTATGCAGGTGCTTTAATCCACTGAGCTATTTGGCTAGCCCCTGTTTTTTCTTTTAGGTAAAAAGATTTCTGGTTGTTTTTAAGCTGTAAAAGTCATTTAGAAGTCAAATAAATATTTACCTGTATTTTCTGCTGTCTCTTTACCATCTAGTGTAATAATAGTTCAAGACATTTTTACCTGAGATTTATCTTGATATGTGACGAAACATACCAGTGTATATTTTCAAAGTAATTAATGAGCCATCTTTCTTTGTATCCCATTTCCTCTTTTTGTGTCCTACCATTTGCTGATTCTTTCATCCTAGATTCTGCTTCCTGTTTGTCTTGTCCCACCTATTAGATGTGTACATTTAAGACAGTCTGTTGAATGATAGTGGTTTTAAATATTTTTGCTAGTATTTTAACATTTCATAATGAAGGTCATTTCTGTACTTTGCTTTAATTTTAAATTATGGAAAGAGTCTAAAAACACCTCTTAAAATGGCTTTATTTTGTGAATAGCTTGAAAAATAGATGAAAAAGTTATGCAGTGAAATGCCTTACTTTTCCCTGGTCCCCCTTGGACCAGTTTCCTGCATCCTCTGTCACCAAAGGTAGAAGCAAGGATGAATCCTGTAGGTCTGCGCTCTTACATAAAAGCTTGCATGTCCACTCTGCTCTGTGTTGAGTGATAGACTGCTATCATTTCTTTCTCTTCTCTTTTTTCTGTTTGGAGACAGGGTCTTGCTATGTAGTTCAGGCTGTCGTTGGGCTCGGGTAGCCAGGGCTGACCTTTACCTCTTGGCGATCCTCCTGCCTCGGCTTCCTGAGTGTGGAGGTTACAGGTGTGTGCCCCCACTCCCGGCTGTCATTTCTGTTTTTCTGCCTAGAGGACTTTCTTGCTGTGTTTAATTACATAGCTGTATACTGTTGGTGTGCCCTTGATTTCTGGGGCGCTGTCACAGACACTTGAGCGGGCTGTAAGCTGTTGCTGCAGTGTCATGTTACCAAAAACAGAGCATAGGGGAAAATGGCACTGAGGAAGTTTAGGAGGCAGTTTATTACACCAGAAGGCTTGACTAGGAACTCTCCTGAAGAGTCAGAGCCCTGCCCATTTGGGTTTCCGGTTTTTATAGGAAGAGGAAGCAGGAGGTACAAAAGCAGCTTTGGTGTACATGATTGGAGGGTTGGATGACATCATGGGTTACTAGGGCAGTTTAAACATCGCAAGTTGCATTGCAAGGCCATCAATTACACAGAGGCAGAGGTTTCACTTTATACTGCAAGGTCACCAGTTACATAGGAAGGAGTGTCAGGCTGGCCAGACATGTTCGCTTGGTCTTGGTGGGCATTCTTGGCAGGCTTTTGTTTAAAATTTGAATTTCCCACTGCCGTTGAGGTGGCTGCCCCAGTGTGCCATCCTTCACCAAACGGGTCATCTAGACTGGTGTGAGAAACCACCTCTCAGCCTACTAAGTTTTGCCGTGCGTTCGAACCTACTCCTGGAATCTCCGTCTTGTTGCATTGGTCTATCTTTAGTCTGTATACTTGGAGAGGCAGCTGCCTTAGTGACGTAGCATCTCTCTCTATTTTGAGCCCCGTGTGGTGGTACAGACCTGTGGTTCCAGCTACTCAGGAAGCTGAGGCGGGGGGTCACTTGAGCCAGGTGGTTCAGGATCAGCCTGGGCAGCACAGCAAGACCCTCTAGAAAAAAACTGGGGGCATGGCTAAAAGCATTGTCTCCCTTCCTTACCCCAGTACTTACTGGGAGTGAACCCAGGGCCTGTACACTGAGGTCTATCCCTAGCCCTTCTTTTAGGTTCTATTTTGAGTTGGGGTCTCCCTAAGTTGCTGAGTTACCTGTGCTGGGCCCAAGCTTGCCCTCCTCCTGCCTCCACCCCCCAAGTGCTGCTGTGTGCATCACACCTAGCTGCTTGCCTATTTTTGAGTCATCTTTTTATGCTCTTCAGGAGGGTTGTAATGTTGACTAGTACGTATTCTTTTTTTTTTTTAATGCATTTAATACAGGAGATACAGAGTCTACTGGGTCTCACTATGTAGATCAGACTCGTAATGATCCTCCTGTTTGCAGCCTCCCTGGTGCTGGGATTATAGGTGCATACCACCATGCCCAGTCTCAATCACCGTCTCAGCATGTCCTGGGGGTGGGGCCAGCACAGCGTACCTGGCTTTGAACCCCGGCTGCTGACTAGTACATATTCTTCATGTATCAGTCCCTGGTATTTTTTTGTTAGTATATATGGTGTAGGCAGAGTCTTAAGAATTTCAGTGTGGGGGCCGGGGAGATGGCTCAGTAGAATAAGTGCTTCCCTGGCAAGTGCAAGGGCCTGAGTTCAATCCCTGGTTCTGCAAAAAAAAAAAAAAAAAAAGAATTTCAGTGTGTATCAGGAGTTAGAGCTCCTGCTTTGCCTTGTTCCCCAGGCCCGCTTTCTGTCAACAGAACACTCACCAGGGCTGATAAAGAAGGCTTGGCTCCTTCAGGAGGCAGTGGAATGCTTGCATGTTTGGTCCTCTCAGACTGTGCCGGGACCATTAGCTGGGGATTTGATTTAATCCTGAAATTTTTGTCCCCAGGTAGGAGAATCAAGGTGTTTTTTCACATTTTTTAAAAGAAATACCGGGGGCCGGGGAGATGGCTCAGTGGAATAAGTGCTTTCCCGGCAAGCACAAGGGTCTGAGTTCAATCCTCAGTTCCTCAAAATAAAAAAAAAAAAAAAAAAAGAAAAGAAATATTGCACAGTATAACTCTGCGAATGCACATGTACCTCCTGGCTTACTGCAGCAAGCAGGGAGAGCGTGTGGTTGTGTCTCTGTCTGTATGTCTGGTTTCCCAGTCCTAGTCCTGCTCTGGTCTGCTTCAGATTCTGTTTAGTGTTAGAGTTCTGTGGTTAAAGAAATCCACACATTCCTCATCTTTGTGCTGTTCTTTTTAAAAGAAGCATTCAATATTAACTGCGCTGGCACCATGGAAACTCGAGTCCCTTAGTGCGGATAGCCTTTCTTGCCCACAGTGGTCAGTAGGGGGCCCGCAGCCGTTGGCCCGCTGTCAAGGAGCCATGGACTTGGGGCTGTGAACAGGAGCTCTTTGCTCAGGCGCAGGAGCCCAAAGCCCCAGTGCTTGGTGCTGGGGGAGTCCTCTGGTGAGGCTGCTTACTCGTGCAGAGGGGTAGCGTACCCGTGATCCCTGGCCTGCTCCCTTCCCTGTATCCGCAGCTCCCAGGGACTCCACTTACCCCGCTCACAGCTGCTTAGGGTTTCAGCACATGGCTTTTAAGGGATCCAGACATGTACTTGTCACCTAGGATGACTGATGTGACTGCGTGAGCAGATCATTTTCTGACGTCTGTTTTCTTGAAATGATTTTGATAAAATATGTTCTCCTAGAAATTAAGTTTAAAAACTATAGGTATGGGCTGGCCAAATAGCTCAGTGGATTAAAGTACCTGCTAGTAGGCACAGAGGCCAGGGGGCACGCTGAGACGGCAGTTGAAACTGAGCATGGTGGTGTGCACCTGTAATCCCAGCTCTTAGGAGGCTGTAGATGCGCCTGTAATCCCAGCTCTTGGGAGGCTGTAAATGGGCCTGTAATCCGAGCTCTTGGGAGGCCGTAAATACACCTGTAATCCCAGCTCTTGAGAGGCTGCAAACAGGAGGATCACTATGAGTCCTGTCTAGTAGTGAGATCCTGAACACCCTGTAGACCCTTCCCTAAAATACTAAATAAATAAATACAAACTACAGGTAAAGATGTGATCATTACCCAGTTCCGTTCCCTCTCTCTGGGGGCTGCTTCTCCTTAGGCTCCTGCACTGCCAGGCAGGCTGCTGGTGCAGCTGTGGGCTCAGGCCACATGGCCTTCCCTTCTCCCACAATGCTCTGCGAATGTCCTGGTTTTGGGGCTGCAGATGCAGGGGTGGTGCTGGCCATGGTTCTGGTTCCGTGGCTGGCTGCGGCCACCCACTGTAGGGTGTCGGTACCTCTGCTGCGGCTCGACCACTGTGTTCTCATGAATAAAGCTGACCTGCGTGTTTGTGTGCATTACAGAAGGTAACGTGCTGTGTCACATTTTCGTATTTTCCTTGGAATGATCTTTTTTCCTTTTAAGTATGTTACTGGGAAGAAGTTTTAACCGTTTAACAGAATTTTGTGCTTTGTGAAAATTCATTGAGTTACATGCTTCTGGGTACTTTTTCTGCAAGTATTAAAAAATGTATAAAAATAATAAGCTTGGCTTTTTTCCTCTGGGGTTTAGGTTGGTTTCAGGTGCCGAGGACACAGTACCTCTTCAGAAAGAAGACACAGTCTGCAAAAGAGACCAGACAGTACTAAGCACTTAAACCCCAGTCAGTCCCATAGAAGCGATGCGAATTCTGAGTCTTTGTATTTTGAGGTATTTTTTTTTTTTAATTCTGTTTATTAACCATTATAGAAAATGTTCCCATAAGAAACTTAATTTGTTATATTGTAAATGTGACTCATTTTATGTCTTAACATGTGCCTCTAAAATTATAAATTACTCAGAAATGGTTATGTTTAGTCTAACCTTATTCATCCTTACGTTGAAGTCCTGTCAAACAGGTTCATCTTGAGGTGCTGTGTAGCAGGAAGACTTGATTTTCACATGACTTCCTCCAGGACAAAACAGTGCTTCTTCAATTTTTTTTTTTTGTTGTTGTTGTTCATAAGACTTCAGATTTGAATAATTCTGTCTAGTTAATTTGTGCGGCTCCTCAGACTGGAGGAGGAGGAAGAAAGATGGCTGTTTTCTGTACCAGCAGACAGTTTGTATGCGTGTCCTCATTGCCCTGGCCTAAATGCTTGCTGTCCCGCCAGCCTCCTCGGCAGCTGCCGTGGTGTGGAGGAAGGCGAGGCTCCGCACACTCTGTATGCAGGCCCCTTTGGGTTCTTGCACACACACCCAGCACTTCCTCTCTAGTCAGTTGGAGTTGGGAGTAGAGGCAGGGCCACTTGGACTTGGTGGCAGGGAAGAAGGAATTGGGCTCGTTCTGAAAGAACAAGTAGGGTTTGGTGTGGCAGACCTCTTTGGTAACATTCATGTAATCCAGTTTGGTTGAATATAGACTCCATAAATTCTATAAAGTAGATTATTGGAGACTAAACGAGATAAAGATGGAGGCTATGTTAGGTGAGCTTCATAACTGATGCACCAGGCTTCAGTCCGTCTCAGTTTTTCTGTTAAAAATGGTTCTAATGTAGGTAGCTATGGTAGTTTTATTGTTTAAAGTCTTTTCCAAATGACCCGTGATAAAATCTAGTTTGAACATTTTCTTAATTGCCTACCCATCTTAGGGAAGAGCTAGAAATAGACGTGGAAAAGCAGACCCTGTCCTGAAGCCCCAAGGCTGACCTGCGTAGCTGTCCTCCAGGCTTCAACAGTTAGATGGCTGGCTTTCATGTGTACGAGGTTTCCTTTTTAGGATTGCTTCTAAATAGTTCAGCGTAGAATACAAGTTCTTTTCCTTTTTTCATCGTTTCTAAGCATTGTAAAAGGTTTTTCTTAGGACTTTGCCATGAACCGTCTTTACTTAACATGTGAACTATTTCAGGACGAAGACGGATTTCAGCAACTAAATGAGAATGGCAGTGCGAAGGACGAGGATATTCAGCAGAAGCTTTCTTCAAAAGTAGTAAGTGCCTCTTTTAAAAGGACAAGCAGCACAGGAAACAGTATGTTTAACTGTTACCTTTAATATTGCTTTTTAAAATAGCCAAAGTGGGGCTGGTGAGATGGCTCAGTGGTCTAAAGCACCTACTTAGAACAAGCTTAGCAAAGCACAGGGACCGCGGTTCAATCCCCCAGCACCACATGCAGCCAGCCCCGCCCCCTGGTGGGCTGAGCTGGTCACACACACACACACACACACACACACACACACAAATAAATAAATAAATAAAAATTTAAAAAAAAAAAAGATAGCTCAGTAGAATAAGCACTTGCCTAGCAAGTGTAGGGTCCTGAGTTCAATCCCCATTATCACAACAAAATTAAAATAGCCAAAGCAAAGATGCTTTCAGGCAGCCCAGCTCTCCACAGGGTCTTGTGACTCGGAGCCCCCGAGGAGCATAGTCCAGTTGCAGCACAGCGCGTCTGCCTTGGCATCCGTTGTTCTCATAGCTAGACGCCACGAGCCACTGACAGACACTTTTCTGCTTCCCACAGCTCGATGATTTGCCTGAAAACTCGCCAATCAGTATAGTTCAGACTCCGATTCCCATCACCACCTCCGTCCCTAAGCGTGCAAAGAGTCAGAAGAAGAAAGCTCTAGCAGCAGCTCTTGCCACAGCTCAGGAGTATTCAGAAATAAGCATGGAGCAGAAGAAACTACAGGTGTGAAGAGTTGGGGTGGTGACTTGCTGGGTTTGGTGGGGTGGATAGGAGGACAGATGCAGCCGCTGTCGCGCGTCCCCCTCTGTGACAGGATGCCAACATGTTCATGGTTGCCTTGCAGGAAGCCTTATCAAAAGCAGCTGGGAAAAAAAACAAAACCCCCGTGCAGCTGGACTTAGGGGACATGTTAGCTGCCCTGGAGAAGCAGCAGCAAGCGATGAAGGCACGGCAGATCACCAACACCAGGCCTCTGTCCTGCGCTGGTGAGGCAGTCGTCTCGGCACGTCCTCTTGGCTTTGCAGCGTGTCGTGCGCACTGTCAGTCTGCAGTGCGTGTGTGAGTGATGTCTGCTCCACTGTGGACCTTGGAGCTGTCTGTGTCTCTTGCCACAGCATGCCCACCCTTCACCATCAGGGCCTCTTCTGCTTTCCTCTGCTGGGAAAACCCGTCTGTCTGCTCAGCAGGCCCTTTCTGTCACCCAGCAGCACTCTCACTGTGCAGTACTTGGTCACGCCTGGCCCTGCCTCCCTGGTCCCCACATCTCAGAAAGCGCTGGCTTGTACCCACATGACTCAGAACCTCTTGTCACTGTGCTCCTCACTTGCAGGAGGCTGCCATCCTGCTTGCTGAGGGCCCCGTCTTCGCTGGCCCAAGACCTGCGGGCTGCTGCCACCATTCTCCCCTGCTTTCTGGGCCCTGGCTGCATCAGCACGCTGCTAGCCCAGTGCTCTGGGCCCGCGCGTTCTTTCTGCAATGCTGCTTCCCTGGAAGTCAGTATTGTTTGTTCCCTCCCATCCATCTCATCCCTACTTAAATGTCACTCAGTGTTCATTTTGAGCCAGCCATATTTTTTCTTCTTCAAAGGTTAAAAAAAAATCACAAGCGATTTGGCTGGCCTAACTATTCAGTGATCCAATTTAAATTAAAAGGCAGCAGAAGTTTTGACCAAACTGTGTGTGTGTGAAGAATGCCCTGGCTTTGCACTGAGTCAGCGATTGCTGTTTTCACAAACCTTGGCAGATTTAGTGTTCTCCATGGCCCTCAGGCACTCACTCATTGCCTTTTGGTGGTCTTTGTGTTAGGGGTTGCAGAATGGGGCGGGGCAGGGAAAGACATCAGTAGAAAGCCTGCATTGAGAGGCAGAGGGGCTTTTGCACTGGTTCTGTTCTAGCACGGAGGGACTGCTCCTCAGTAGAAAGGTAACAGTGTAGCGAGTTGGAGAGTGGGGAGTTCGGGGAGCCTAGGCTGGTAGCTAAGGCAGGTGGAGGGGCTCAGGGTACGGCATTGCGTCCTGCTCCTCCATGTGTCTTCTTGTTCTTTGTGTGCTTCCCTTCCCTTCCCTGACAGGAAGTGGGAGCGGGGCGGCGACAGTCCCTCCTGTGGCACTTTGGAGGGAAGGAAAGGAGGTGTGGCAAGGTGCCCAGAGAACCTGGACTGCAATCGCTCAGCACATGTGTACCAGTGCCCGGGTGACGCAGAGATTGGTTCCCTGGCTGTTGTTGCAGGCTGATTTATTTATTTAGTGACTATTTATTTATTTTTGTTACCATGTTTTCAAATTAATTGTGGAAGTGATTCTTTTTTTTTTTTTTTTCCATAATTTTATTGAGGGAAAAGTAGCAATGAGACAGTTTCAAATGGTAGGACAGTTTCAGTAATTAACACATTGCATACTCTCTTCCTAGGGTTATTTGCTGTACAAGATGCAGACATGATATCCTATTTACACTATTACAACAAATTCCTCTATTCATTAACAGAATGTAACTATATATCTATCCTAACCATTTTGAATACACAGATACAAAATGGACATTCATCATATCCCCTTTTTTGTTTCGTTCCATCATTTGACTATTATAGGTATGTTAACTCAGCAAAATATTCTAAAAGAGTCCAGTAGTCTATAATAGTATTGGGTCTTCCTCTTGACTGGCAGTGTCAGAAATTGTAGACCTGAGTCCCCTACAGCTCAACATAACAGCCTGGCTTTACTTCTTATACTTCGTTTTTATACTTTTCTGCTGGATGGTTAAGACCAAGATAAAGAAGACCTATGCAACAAGAGTTGTAGCTTTTGGGTCGGATGAGGTCAGTGAAATCCCCTCAAGATTTTTCCTGAGATCCTGTACCTCAGATTGTAGAACCTTTGTCAGTGTCAGCCATGTGGATAAGTCACAGCCATTGCTTGGCCAATGTGCTCTCTGTGAAAGCCTGAAAGAATGTTTTCTCTCCATGTGACTCTCTTTAGGCACACTCTACATTATAGATCACTTTCCTTTTTGGCCCCATAATCTCCTTGATCAGAAAATTTGGGACACTACTGAATTACATGACGTTACAGTACAAGTTCTCATATGTCCTGAGTCTTAATTGACCTTGGAAGGCTAGGGCCAAAATGTTGGCTTTCCTTATGGCCCTCCTTTTTCTCTAATTTTGGTCTGCAAACTTAGGTTGTTAACTGATTCATTTAGCAAAAAAGTGTAACTACGGGTATCTGTGAGTAAAGCGGGCCATGAGGAACTGTTGGGATTCCAGAGAGGCTCAAGGTATACTTTTGTTCAAGAAGTTTATAATTTACTGGGAGAGAAAGACACATACACAGACAACTAACTGAAAGCAGTACTTGAGGAAAGATAGCAACAGAGTACATGGATTTGCAGAACACAGTGCTTCTGTTGATGGGGGTGTGGGAAAGGCATGAAATGATTTGTGGAAGGTAGCACTTGAACTGGGCTCTGGAGGGAATGCAGGGTACTCGACACAGAAACGAGATTAACCTGAAGCAGGAGAATGGTGAGTTCAAGCCCTGCCTGAGACCCTGTCTCAAATGAAAAACAAAACAGAAAAAGGGCTAAGAAGCTTAGTAGCAGCAGTGGGGAGTCAGGGAGGGAGAGCAAGGAGAGTGTCCTCAGTGCATCACCAGCATTTGAAGGGGGGTGGTGGGGATCACAACAAAAACTACTGGGAAGCCCAGGAGAAAAATGAGAGTGTGGTGCAAATTCCAGGGGGTAAAGGGTGGGTAGGGTTGAAAGGCAGGGCCTGGGGATACTGCCCTGGCTTGCTGCATGCAGTTTGGGCTCTGGGCTGTGAGTGGAGGATGGGACCCTGTGGCGGCCGTTTGGTCAGTTTGCACGTGGAGCAGGCAGTTGGCTGGGATGGAATGGACACCACTGCGCAGTGAGGTGTGGGGAGAGGGTGTTTTGGGCTGAGGCCTGGGTGGTCTGGACTGCCAGCATGGAAGGAAGGAGAGCCCAAAGAGGTCGGCAGCGAGGCTGTCTCTCTCCATGCTCAGCGCTTTCCTGAGCGCTGAGGCGGGTAGGTCACAGTGCTGAGCAGGGAAAGTATGGTCCCAGGGCCAGGCACTGCATCCTGGGTGTGAGGTGCTGAAGGAACAAGGATGCGTTCTCCAGGTCGTCTGGCCATTTGGGGTCTGGATAGGAATAGGGACAGGTGGAGGCCGGGTCCAGCAGGATCCACGCCAACCCTAAGGGTGAACACATCTTCCTGGATGGCCAGATGCCTGCTGCAGCGGAGGCTGGAGTCGGGGGTGCAAGACATGGGAGGGTTGGGCAGCGTTGTCGCCTGCAGAGGTGCCGAGTGGTGCCTGGAGCAGCTGAGGATGGGCCGGCTTCTTCCCCAGTGGAAATGTGAGGAGGAAAGCCGGTGGGTGGCACAGAAGTTGGAGTGAGGCCTCGGGTAGCTCAGTGGGGAGGCGCTGGGCTCAGTACTACCCCCGAGAACAGAAGACAGTAGGGGCTCAGCAAGTGTCTGTAGAGATCGACAAAGGTCGGCTGAGTCGGAACTAGGAGCAGCCAAAGCTGGACACCTCGCAGGGTGGGGGGTTCAGGTGGAGCTTGTGAGTCCCTGCAGCAGAGCAGAGGCCCACTTCGCCCTGCTTCAGCCTGGAACGCTGCCCGCGGCCTGGGCTTGGCCTCGCCTCACAGGGCCAGAGCGGGCAGAAGCCATGTCCCGGTACACCGCACTGGTACTGCGCCTGTGGTGTCCTCATGTTTGTCCTTCCCAGAGGAAGAGGGTGCTTTTGTGGATTATCATCGGACACTGAAAGTCCAAGGGATTGGCTGTGCTAGCAAGAGGACAGCAGTAACGTTCTTGTTTGCTTTCAGTGGTTACCACGGCTGCTTTCCACACTAAAGACTCTGCCACGAGAAAACCTTTAACCAAAAGTCAGCCCTGTTTGACATCCTTTAGCACTTTGGACATGAGTTCCTCTAAAGCAAAAAAAGGAAGAGAGAAGGAAATTGCAAAACTAAAAAGGCCCACAGCCCTTAAAAAGGTAATCTAAATCTGGGACTCTTTTAACTTATAGGCAACATAAAGAGCTTAAGTCTGTTTTACAGAAATGAGTTGTGGAGTATTAGCCAGTAGATTATTCTGAAGTATTCATAGATTGCAGCTTGAGTAGTCGATGAATAGTCAGTGCAAAATTGGAGAGACCATCAGCTGTGTAATAGCCTTTCAGAGTGGAGCATGGTCCTGCAGAATGGATTTTTTCTATAAGGTTTAAAAAACCCCAAACATTTAATAAGTCAAAGCACTAAGCCCAGGGAATCAGCAGCCCTGAATGTGGCTGGCTGTTTTGGCTCGCGAGCTGTGTTTTGGTCTCTGTAGTACCGGGCATTGAACCTGGGGCCTTGAGGTCGGTTGGGTGTACCTACAATGGGCCTGCCCCCGTCCAGCTGTGGCTCTCAGTGCCCCCTTTGTCACAGCTGCGTCACATGCTCCCTGCCCTATGTTGTGCAGGCAGATGTGTTTGCTGTCATCTTCTTCACATGCTAATTAAAGATGATCTTAATTATGCCTGCACCAGCCAACTCCCAGTTGTCTTTAAAATGTAGTAACCCATGTTCAGATAGTTGAAACTATGAAACATAAATCAGATGAACTTAGTGGTGTTCAAATCAGAGTACACGTAACTTTTTTTTTTTTTAAACTTTATCACATAGGATTAAAGAATGAAGTACGGTAGATGTGATTCAGTACTATATTCTCAAGCCTTTCATTTTGCGTGCATATTTTCTTCAGCTTCTGGTGCCTAAACTGACATTTTGGGGTCAGTTTCCATGTAGCCAGCAAACGCACAGCCACCTACAACCCCCAGGTCTGTGTCTGTGTGAACCCGACACCGCGGTCGTAGATACGCTGAGATCCTCCAGTGCTGAGTTGGAGGGCAATCAATAAAGACTGCTGTGATGGCTTTTAGGTTATTCTGAAAGAAAGAGAGGAAAAGAAGGGCCGTTTAACAGTGGACCACAGTCTCTTAGGATCTGAGGAGCCAACAGAACCACCTCTGGATTTTATGGATGATTTGCCGCGGGAGGACCCCTCCCAGGAAGGTAAGGACACCCCGTCTCTGCTCCCCTCCTGCACCGTCCAGAGCAGGGTATGGCTGGGCCCCACACAGAACGGGTGGTACCACAGCCCGAGATATAGGGGCTGAGACTGCTCGCGGCAAGTAAGAAGCGGACACGCAGACGTGAAGTCAGTCAGGTATTTGACCTTTTTTTGAAACTGGCACATCAGTTTGATAGAAGTGGTTGCAGATCTTAGTTCTCTGGGTGCTCATCAGAATGCTGGCTCTCATTTGACTCTGTATAGCTCAGGTTTAGTCCTTCACAGGTGTGCTTGCTGCCAGAAAGTGGCCCTGGTCGAGGAGGCTCCCTCCTGTGTGTGACCCCAGGGCCACAGCATGGCCTATCACGGTGGAGGCTTGCTTTGGTGGTCTTGTGAAAAGCAAAAAAAAGAAAGCAAGCAAGGCCTTGAGTAAGGCGTGAGTGCAAAGCAAGGGCTGCTGTTCTCTGGGGAGCCTGGTCTTGCCAGTGTCTAGTGAAGGGACGTGATCAGATTCTTCTTTGGACTGACTGATTGCAGCTCAGTCCATCAAAACTGAATAAATAAGCAGCCATTTGTTTTTCTAGTGCTGGCCATATTGTACATATAAGTACAACAATATGACTAGAAATCTGATGCAGTTTTTCTAGTACACCACAGCTGGTAAAGACATTGTAATTCGTTATTTTACAAAGCAACAAGCCCAAATTCAGTAAATAAAATAACTTGCAGCTTAATAATATCACACAGCAGTCTTCACAAGCTCATGCACACATAGAGAGTTGGAGCTCACAGGAGAGGGTTGGCGGGTCACAGGCTCGCATGCGTAGAAGGTTGGAGTTCTGGGGTCCATAGTCACTGACTTCCTGGCCAGCTCCATGGCGCCCACCGTCCGATCCCTACAGGCATCAGTTCTGCTGAATGTGGTGCCGGGAGGAGGTAGCGCTGCCTCTCGCCCTCCCCACACAGCCTTGAGGTTGGCACTGTATGGTCCACACTGCAGGACCGCATCCACATCACGCAGTAACTCTACTATCACAGAGTCACACGGGTTTACAGCCTGAGGCTTTGTGTTACCATCTGTCCAGGTCCACGGTCCGCTCCTGGGCTGTGAGCTGGACACAGTGGCCCAGAGCAGATGGAGAAGCCATCACCAGTTAGGCTATGGTGGTTGTACTGCATGCTTTATATAATTTTCTTTAGTTTTGAAAATGGTTTCTGAATGTGCTTTGGTAGGAAGATGGTTAAGGTGGCGGTGAATGTCACCTATTAGATATGTGTCACCTTTTGGGTTTTAGTCTAAAATTGCAAACCTTCAAAGTTAAGATCTCAGCCAGGCATGGTGGGGCACATCTGTAATCCCAGTGCTCAGGAGGCTGAGGCAGTGGTATTGCCTTGAGTTTGAAGCCAGCCTGGGCTGTGAATTGAGTTCAAGGCTACCCTGGACTACATAGCAAGACCCTATCTAAAAAAAAAAAATTAAGAGCTCACCACCAGGTCAGATCACCCCTGGAATTCATGGCTCTTTTCATTTTCTCTGATATCTAGACCACCACATGCTAGCTTTCTTTATAGAAGTGTTTTTCATTGAATCATTTTATTGATTTTCTTTGGGGGGGGAATTAATACAGATGCACAATGATTATAGAATTGCAAATCAGAGCATAGTTGGTAAATATTTAGTCCCAATCAGAAGTGAGTACATATGATTCCAGGCAATAAAATTCGTTCCCAGAAAGTATCCAATACATAGGATCTTGGGTCTCATTGAAAGCAGATTTACACATAGATTAAGCAGCAGCATTTCATTGTTTGTAGAAAGTGAATTTACTTCTGTGGCTCATTCATGGAATGTGCTTGCTTAGGATTCCCCTTTATTCTTAACTTGATATGATCCCTTTAGGCTTCTGTCTCTCCACCCATTCTTTCCCAAGCCTTCTTGAACACCCCTCCCACTTGTATCTTTAGTTACCAGGGCAGGGGAGACAGCAGGTCTTGCCCTTGGGAGTCTGAGGGAGGTGGGGAGCTCTGCAGCAAGGGCCTCCTGATCAGACCCGCTGCTTAGCCGGGAAGTGTAACTGGGGAAAGGGTCTGGTGGAGTTGGCAGATGGTCGCCAGGACCCTAGCCCCAGCACGGAAGCCCACAGAGCCACGAGGTGCGCAGGGTGCAAGCAACGGTCTGCTGGAACGTAGAGAACAGCAGTGACTTCAGAGATAGGTGGGTGTGCAGAGGAGGACAGTGTGACAGCGGAGAGCTGCCGGCCTCTGTGTATGACTGAATCCCTGGGAACGCAAGCTTGGGTAATTTTGCCAGTTCTTAGCTCCCCTGTAGAGACTTCCAGGCTGTTTGTTGGTTTGGGGATTTCTTTTTCAGTATAACTTAATAGAGAATAGAAAGCCTTAACTTTTGTTGTGTGTGAGAAGTGTTTATTTGTGATGGGAAAAATGCCCCGCTTGTTAGCATGACCCCAGAGCAGCGGCCTTGCCGAGTGTGGGTTAGCACTCAGCATGTGCAGCCAGGGTTCTCTTTCCTCACCTCCGTCTCACAGATAACGGACTGAGCATGCCCAGCGATGCCTCGCTCTCCCCAGCGAGTCAGAACTCTCCGTATTGTATGACGCCTGTGTCCCAAGGCTCTCCTGCGAGTTCCGGGATAGGTAGCCCAATGGCATCGTCCACAATCACCAAGATCCACAGCAAGAGATTCAGAGAGTAAGTCTTTCCCTTGGCCCTCAGAGGGAGTAGTTTAAATGTCTTGATTAAAGTTCTGAATTGTCACTGATACTTGGTGAGTCAAGCAAGTGTAGCTCAAAGTCTTTGCTGACTCTCAACAGCCGGCTTTGTTGTCTATAAAGCATTCTCTTCTTCAGTGGTGATGCAGGGCTATTGGACAGTAAATATGTTCTCTTTATATCAGTGCTTCTGTCCAAGAAACCTGGCCTCATACGTCTTACGTATATAAAATGTCGTGCTGTGTTTTTTCCCTTTACTTTTTTTTAGTTTTGTGGGTACTGGGAATCCAACTCAGGACCTTGCACTTGCCAGGCAGACACTTGTGCCGCTGCACTATATGTCCCTTTAAACACTCTCTGACCAGTATTAATAACATGAGCTGGGGCTGGGAGATGGCTCAGTAGAATAAGTGCTTCCCTGGCAAGCGCAAGGGCCTGCGTTCAATCCCCAGTTCTGCCAAAATAAATAAATAAATAACATAACATAACATGAGCTATGCTTATAGGCCTTGTTACATGAAATGCACTTATTATATAAAGCTTTTTTATTATATGTTCTTTTAACCCAGGGATTGCACCAGGCAAGAGCTCTACCATTGACCTGCACACTAGTTCAAACTATTTGCTTTTAAGCTGCTACTTTTTAGAATTGAGATAACTAAGGAATCACACAATGTGATACCCCATCTGTGAATAACCTTTAACAGTTATTGCTGTGAAATATTTTAGGATTTTTACCATTTGTGTAATGAGGTAGTTTTCCCTTTAAAAATGACATATGACAGAATCCCAGGGTGAGAGTATGTATAATCTGTGAGAGTCCAAACCATATCGGTCCTCTTGCCTTTCCTTGTTCCATTGTTTCTGCTTGAATACTTCTTGCCTAGCCTTAAGAAGTTAATTAAATGTCAAATAACAGATGTGGAGCAAATGAAGAATAAAATGTTACATATGTCTGAAGTAGCTTCAGAGAAACAAGAAAATTGCGTTTTTGATGTTTTGTTCTTTAATCTTGAATCCCTTATGACCCATCACCTGTTCTCAGTCTGTCCCGTTGCGTCTTCTCTTCTGAGGTATTGCCATCTGATACTTATTCAGCATTTTCACATAAAATCACCAGTGTGGTATTTTTCGTAATGAAGAAGGTCAAGCCTACACTTGCCCAGTGTAAAACTTCAAGATTTGACCTTGCTTGTCAAGGTCAAATGAAGCGAGGTGAACCAAGTCTCCTTGTTTAATACCCACATCTAGTAAAGGGAAAGGACAAAAAGGAGAAAATGCAGGAAGAGTATACAAGACGTGCCCTGGGGAACTTCTTGGAGAGTTCCGGGTCAGGATGGCTTCACAGCATAGCTGCCTGTGACCTCACGGGGCTCTCGAGGAGCTGCGTCTGATGCAGAGGCCTGTGACGCCTGCATCAAGGCTCAGTGGTGTGGGCTTCAGCTGAACTGCTGAGCTCACCCTCCACAGCGCTAGGTGTGCAGAGCCAGAGGGCCACCGAGCCCCTGGCCGGCCCCTGGCTGCAGGGGAGAGAAGTACGCAGGGCTCCCAAGCTTAGAGAGCCAAGTGTTGGCATTTGGACGTTGAGCTGGAAGTTGTGTGTCTTCCTACCAGAAGCACCTTAAGGATTATATCTGCTTTTGTCTCATAGCAGGGCAACATTTGGCTTTAGAAATTTAATAGTTGGGATTTCAGATAGTGCTTCCTGAGGTGAACAGACACTTTACTAAAAGCCAGTTTGTTAAACCAATTCAAACAGAGGCAGTCTGTACCACTCTTGTGTTTTTCTGGCTGCCTAAAGACTTGGGAGGTTCACGGGCTTTTCATGGAAACCTCTTACTGGATGCATTTTCTCATAAAGCCATCCTCCTAATGCAGCCTTATGATTGCCAGAAGTGACTTGGAAGGCGTTCACTGTTGCTCCCTTCACAGGTACTGCAACCAGGTTCTCTCCAAAGAGATTGACGAGTGCGTGACGCTCCTCCTGCAGGAGCTGGTCAGCTTCCAGGAGCGTGTCTACCAGAAGGACCCTGCGCGGGCCAAGGCCAGGCGCCGGCTGGTCATGGGGCTGCGGGAGGTCACCAAGCACATGAAGCTGAGCAAGATCAAGTGTGTCATCATCTCTCCCAACTGCGAGAAGATCCAGTCCAAGGGCACGTACACATTCCTCCTGCCTACTCTGATGCCTGTTTAATGGAATTGTAGGGGTTTTATAAAGAGTGAGCCATGTGTTTTTCTCTGAGAAGTATAATTTTAAAACAAAATATTGTGTGAGGAAAAACAGTGAAATTGCAGTACCTCGAATTGGGTAGGATAACTAAGATTGGATCATAGAGAAGGCTGCCATGTGTGAATGCTGGTGAAGGGTCTCCATGGGGCCTCTCTAGTGTCCCCTTCACTGTGACCAGAATGGGGACAGTCAGGTGCATTTATTTCCAGTACACCTACTGTCGTGTTTTTTATATTACCTTTCTACAGTACCCTTCTCCTCTTAAAAACAATGAGAAGAGAAGGAAGGGTCTCTCCCCGGTCTATGATGTAGAGAGCCAGGCTGTGTCCCTGAGGCAAGCAGTCACGTGCAAAGGGTCTGATTTTGAGGAGGTTTAGAATTTTAACTGGGGAGAAAGCAAGCTGCGTATCTGATACACAAACTAGAGGATGTGTGTTGTAGCCTTGGTGCCCCGGGTGTTCACCTGCTCCTCTCTGCACTTGGCGCTGTTCTGGGCCCAGGCTGGCCGAGCTACCCGGGCAAGGAACTAACTAGGAATCTCTGCATGTGCTGATCCTCAGGTGGCCTGGATGAGGCGCTGTATAATGTTATAGCTATGGCTCGGGAACAAGAAATTCCTTTCGTATTTGCCCTTGGGAGAAAAGCTCTGGGGCGCTGCGTGAACAAGCTGGTTCCTGTCAGTGTAGTGGGGATCTTCAACTACTTCGGTGCTGAGGTGAGAATCTCGGGGAAGCGCTTCTCTTCTCCCCTGCTGCCACACAGAGCACATTCGCTGCTGATGCGTGGCATTGTTGTACTTCAGTGTTTAAAAGGGAGTTGAGGACTCAAAGCGGAAGTGGGAACTGGTGAGTACGGTGTTTCCTCTGTACTGGTGAAGCCCTACAGCAGTTTGGAAAGGTTTAGTTTCCTACTTGGGCCATAGTGGCTTTTATCTTTTGGGCTTACCTGTGTAGTTTTTGGCCACTTAACTGCTAAAGGTAGCTAATATAACATAATGCGAAGCAGAATAATTTCTTCAGTCTTCTGATGGGTACGTTTGTGTCCTCGGAGTCAAGAGAAATCCTTTCATTGAAGGAATTGTCCTTTAGAGTACGGAACATCTGCACTCACTTGTCAGAATAGATGTGTACCCATGGTCCTGGCCCCTCTGGCCATCGTCAGCACAGCTTGCCTTGGGCAGTGAGTCGCCTTGGCATTTCAGGCTTGTTTGTTGTGATTGATTCCTAACTACTTTGATATAATGGCAGACATCTCTTCTCCTTGTATCTGTCTTACTTTTCTAGTTGCTTGGACGGCATACCAGAACAAGGAAATTAAAGGAAGCCCACAATTAATGCCTACAATTAAGGAAGAAAGGTTTATTTAGCTCACATTCTGCAGAAGTTTGAGTCCCTTGTTGGCTGGCTCCAAGGCATGGGGCCATGGCAGAGAGCTGTCGCCAAGCAAAAATAGTAGGCTGGAGGCAGCAGCAGCAGCCGCAGCAGCCACAGCCTGCCTTACTTCTGGGCCTCAGTATTTCAGCCATACTACCCTCTGATTGGTGCCACCCACACCTGGGTAGGACCTCCGTTATCCATACCCTTAACTCCAGTATCCTACCATTAATCCTCGTTCATACAGCCTAATCCAGCCACCTCCATAAGGCTCAATTTATGACTGCATGAGGATTTGGGGGTATCTAGACACAGCCATAACATTCTGCCCTGTCTCTCAGAGGCTCGTGCACATCCGTTTGTGCAAAAGGTATTCAGTCCATCCCTCAGAATTCCCAGAGTCCTAACAGTTTCAGCATTGCTGAAAAGTCCAAGTCCAAAGTCTCTCTAGATTTGAGACAAGCACTTATCTGGGAGCTACTGTACAAATGAAAGTTAAACACTTCTAATGTACAAAGACACAAGAAGAATATTCTCATTCCAAATAGGGGGCTAGAACGGAATGGGAGCAAGCCCCAGAGTTCTGTGTCCAGTATCCAGGGCATTCTCAGCAAGAGGAAAGTTCCAAAGGGCTTGGGTGTCTCTACCCTTATGGTATTTCTCTTAGTTGTAGTTTCCAAGATTTCTTTCTTGGGCAGGCTGTGCTCCCTTCTTGTAGTTTTCCTCACACTGTCTCTGTACCTGGCTTCTCCATCTTTCTAGGGTTTCCATTGCACCTTCAGCTTCATGCTCACTGCTTCACACACTGCCCTCTCAGGGTCCCATCACCCGGTGCCCTTCTTCTGAACTCAGGGTGGAAGCCTTTCTGACCCCATAACTTCTGTATTCTGCATGCACCTAAACTAGCATCACCTGGAAGATGCCAAGGTCTGCTGCCAGCTGGAGCAGTAGCCAGGATTCCCTCTTTCTTGGCTGTAAGGGTTGAGTGCCTCTGAACCTAATCCTGAGGAACAGCTTCCCTAGGCCACCACCGTTCTGGAAGGTTGTGCTATAGGGCTCTCTGCTAAAAGCAAAGTCTTTCACCCTCGCAATTCTGAGGCTGCAAAGGGTGGAGTCCTGATTGTTGTTATGTCCTTAGGCCATCTTTTCTTTCTCAGCAAATCAATTTCTTCTCTGCTTCATCTTTGTGGTTCACAACATTAGCAAAGCTTCCTTTCTAGCTAAACTCAAAATGTTTTAAATCATTCTGCTGGGCTGTTTGCTATTGATTCTCAACATAGATTGGACTAAAGGACCCAATAGTAGCCATGCCACTTCCTCTTTAGCTGCCTTGGAATTTCTTCCACAAGATAATTAATCCACTGTCCTTAATCCCAGTTAATCCCAGGCAAAATTTCTGGACACAAAGGAAATGTAGACAGATTTTTCTGCCAGAGTGTAAGACATGATCTGGAGTTCAGCAGCCAGTGCATCTTTACCAGCTGCATTTCTGTCAGCATTTTGGTCTTCTGAACTCCAGCCAGAATCTCCCATCACGTACAGCTTAAAGCATTCTGGGGCTGCTTCTTCAGCCAGCATCTCCAAACTGTTCCAAAGTCTTTTCACAAACCAGTCCCAAAAGCTCCTGAGCCACATGACCAGGTAGGGTCACAGCAATGACCTTACTATCAGTCTTGGTTAGTTTTCTATTTGCTGAAACAAAATACCTGACATCCAGAGTTAAAGGTGAAGAAGTTTGTTTCAGCTCACAGTTTGTAGAGGTTTTAGTTCATTGTTGGATTCTTCTAAGGCATGCCACAGAGGCATCATAGAGGAGAAATAGTTCATGGCATAGCAGGCAGAAGGCAGCATAGGAGCAAGCAGCAGCAGCAGCAGCATACTTGTCTTCTTTATGTCCCATTATATTCCATCCAGGCTATAAGCCCATTGATTGGTGCCACCCATGCCCAAAGTGGAGCTTCTGTTATCCACACACTTAATCCCAGCATCATACCCATAAACCACATACACACAGAGACACTTATCTAGCCACCTTCAAAACTCCCCACCTATGAGACTGGGAGGATATCTAGATACAAGCCATAATACCAGCTTCACTATATTTATAAGTATTTACATACTCACTGTTTGGTTACCATATTTGCATTCTGCCCATTTCCCCCATCTCCTGCCCATTCATGGCAGCCTCCTCCACTGCCCGTGAAGTCATCTGCCCATGGGCTAAGACATAGCTGTCAGAAGTCTGTTCTGCTGCACTGCAGGTTGTCACGCTGTAGGGCTATAGTTTATGTGTTTCCTACTATTGTAACTGGGGTCTTTGCATCCTAACACTTGGGACATGAGCAGCTGGGAGACACTCACTGGATGGACTGACTGGTGACCACTACCTGTAATACAGTGGGCATGAGACTGGAGGCACTGAACATCCGTGTGGAAAGGAGGGCCAGGGAGGAAGAGAACTAATGAAATCCTACTCCTGCTTTCTTCAGTATTGGCGTTCATGGGGTAGGATTGGGTCAGGAAAGTGGACAGGTTTTCTCTTATTATATTGGCTTCTCTATGAATTATGTGTCGAAGGTTATTTGTATGCTTTTATATTTATTTATTTATTTATTTATTTATTTTTTTGTGGAACCGGGGATTGAACTCAGGCCCTTGCACTTGCCAGGCAAGCGTTTATTCTACTGAGCTATCTCCCTGGCCCCTGTATGTTTTTATGTTACAAAATGTTTGCTAGCTTTGTTTGCATTTTTTTACTTGTTGTACTTATATTGAAATAAGTAAATTTTGTAAACCAAAGCATTCTCTTGCATGGAAATATAAAAATACTGATGTCATTAGATAGCTCCATTCTTTTTTTTTTTTTTTTTTAATTTATTTATTTATTT